CAGCCCATGGGATGTGGTCCTCAGAGCTCTCTGAGGGGGTAAGTAGGTCCATCTTCCCAATGTCACACTTGGGGAAGTGAGCCTCAGAGCACCTTGGGACTCCTACTCTGGAATCACCCTCTTCACTTCCTCTTGCTGACATGGACCCTGGTTTCCAGCATGGGCTGGTGTCTCCCACCCTTCCCGGACGTCATACCACTGCTGAATTTCCCATGCTGTCCTAACGTGCTGTGCTTAGTGGTTCATCATGACACAGCGACCAAGCACAAGTTTGGAGTCAGACAGGCTGGCCCCAAATCCCTGTCCTGCTGTGTGACCTGGGGAAGAGTGCTAACCTCTCTGAGCCTCAGAATTTTCATCTTGAAAGGGGAAATGCCTACAGTCTTCCTGGGAATTCAGATGAGATAACTGTGGTCAAATGCTGCAGAATGGTGACATTTACTCTTATTTATTGGGCTGGTTAAGCCCTAGATGCACTCAAGGCTGGCTTCTCCAGCCCCAGTCCTGGTAGAGAGCAAGAGGCGTATCAGGAGCAACTTGGGGCCAGGGGCTCCCTCTGAGCCCTGCGGGGGGCGACCTTTTCCTACCAAGCCAGTATCGGGAGGGCTCGCTCCCCGTCGGCCTCACCAGCACTGCACACAGCTGCGCTGGGAACACAGGTATCAGAGTGAGTTCGGGCTCTCCTCCCGTCCCCGGGAGCACAGCCCAGAGACCTCATTTACTAGTACAAACTCTGCACCAGAGTTTTCTCACCCAGCTCTCCCACGTTTAAACAAGAAGCTGTTCCGCTCACATTTGCAAACTCTTCCTGGGATCAGTTCTCAACCGCACTCAGATCGCATCCCCAGGAACCACCCACCCTCTCAGTGGGGACGAGTGTTTACAGGTTTGATTTTATGCTCTCCTAACAATTTGGCAAAGGGCGTTTTATTCATATGCTGAGCACCACTGTTTGGCTAAATTTAACTGCCATGTACCTTCCTGTTCCTTGAGCAGGAGGGAGCAAGTAAAAGTCCACAGTCTTGGGTTTTTCCCCCCCTTTACATGAAAAACAACTAAAAAAGTCCTTTGTGGAAGCCAGCCTCAGAGGTGGGTAAAACGCACCCAGCAGCACATTAACTTAAGTGCATTTAGCTTCTATATTGCTAACAAGGGCTAACCAGTTACGGATTAAAGCATTATTTACCTTTCCTAAACTTAAAAAACCCACGTACTAACTAGTAAAGAGCCTATCAAATAGCTTCAGAATTCTTGCCTTGTGTAACCTTAGCGACAAGAAATAGGTTCCAAACACCTGAGAATCTTCCACGTTAGTACATGTTGGTTTTTCTCTTTTAAAAACGGTGTTGGGACAACTGAGTATCCGTGGGCAGCAGAATGCGGTGGGACCCCTACCTTACTCCAGATTCAAGTCGACTCAGGATGGTTCAAAAGAACCTAAATGTAAGAGCTAACACTACACAAAACTCTTAGCAAGAAAACTGAGGCACAAATCTTCATGGTCTTGGATGACGACACCAAAACCACAGCAACCAGCGGGGAAAAAAAAATAAACTGGACTTCATGATAATGAAAACTTCCGTGCTTCAAGGACAATATCAAGAAAGTAGAAAGACAACTGCAGAATGGGAGAAAATATTTGCCAATCAGGTGTCTGATGCCAAAAGCCAGTGAGGACTCCGGATTTTGCTTCCTGGGCCCCATGGCCCACCCAGGTCCACCCAGTAGAATGTAAGTTAGAGAAGCCCAGTGTCCAGTGGACACTGGACACTCAAGGGCAAGGGTCATGTGAAGAAGTAATGTGGCGAGGGGGTCTGTTGCCTTTGCCTTTTCTTGGGCAGATAAATGCACCGAGGCTCGCCCCACCTGTGCATCGGGCCCAGGCACTTGTGTCCCCTGGAAAATCTAACTGGCACCGTGGACGAGACTGCCACCTCTCCTAAGCATTTCAGAGAGGCAATCATCCCTGGAGGAGTTTGGGGTTGGAAAGAGATACTAATACACAGAACTGTTACCTAGAGACCAATGTCACATCCGACAGTCCACTTCCTGAAGGCAGAGGCCAGTGCGGCCCCGCTCTCTATTACTCAGAGCCACTCTGTAAAACCGGGAGACCAAACGCCCATCTAGAGATGAGAGGGCATGGCCGGCCTGTGCCGCTCAGGCCACATGAAGAGGGTCTGGTGACAGGAGCTCGGGCAGAGCTGGCCGGTGTCCAGCAACAGTCTTAGCCCCATCTTCCTCTGAGAGAACACAGATCAGTTCCTTTAAACTAACTCGCAGGAAAGCACAGCAAGGAATAGCTTCATTAACCACCTTCTCTGCGTCTCACATCACATTAGGCAGAAAACCTACAATGACCTCAGAGCCTCCGAGTGGCCAGGAGCCCATTTCACCTATAAGGGACGGGGTATTCCCAGATTATTAGGCAGAGAACTGGGGTCCAAACCCAAGTCCCCACAGATCACACTCCTTGTACGATCACTGATACACACCCCTGCCGAGGGGGTCTGAGCCATCAGGGTTAGGGGTGGGGTGCCACAGAAGAGGCGTATTGACAGAAGGGGCCAGATACCCAGTTCTGTGAAAGGCCCGTTAAGCTTTTCTGTGACTCAGGCCTGGCAGCGTGGCCCTCTGCCCTGGCACAGATAGCAGCTGGGACGCCTCCAGGCCACCAGGCCACAGCTTACCTAGATGCTGTCCTCCATGGACAGAAGGACCAAGTCCACACCCAAAAGGTCAGAGCAGGCTGCTTTGAGGGACAGATCGCTGTGGGATAAGCCCAGAGTCTCTGAGCTGAGTGCGCCAAAGCCAGAGTCCTGCCTCCTGTCCTGAGAAGTAACCAAGGAACAATGACAGTGATAAAAGCACCACTTTCAAAGCTGGCCCAGCAAAGGGGGGCACCCTAAGTGAGGAAGGGAAGAAGCATGAACCAAGCAAAGGGCGACCTTGGACTCTAAACCCGCACCCAGCGGCCAGCCCGAAAGACCCTCCAAGTGCAAAAGCAAACCAGAAGCCTGTCGATTTTATCGACCTTGGACTTATTTCAGGTGTTTTACTTGGAATGGCCTAGCTGTCAGCACCTTGGAAGTACGTGGCTCCTTCCCGGGCTCCATCTGGAAGGGAGACTGCTGCGGAGAGGGGCCCTGGCCAGAGGAGGCGGCGAGTCCTGCTGGGTGACCCTGGACGAGTCCCCTGCCAGCTCCACGTGGCTAGGATTTCCTGACCGTGGAGGTACATCACTCTTCAAGAAAGCCCGTTCCAGGGAGTCACTGGGCAACAGCCAGGACCGCGACAGCCCTCTCGGGCTACACCTACACGTACAACCACCCTCGGGCTGGTTTGGGCAGCGTCCTCTCCCTTAGCCCCACCACAACGCTTGCAGTTTGACGGTCATCCTGGAGTTTGAGCTCTGCCCTCAGTCTCCCCTGCCAGTGCGCTCACGCTCCTCGGGGATGCTTCCCCGAGTGCTGCAGGCTCCCCACGTGTGTCCCTATCCTGGCCCTTGTTTCACACTGCAGTAACTGTTCTTTTATGTATTAACTGGGCGGAGGGTGGGGGGATGCACCTGAAGCCCAGGCTGGGGTGCATCCACTTGTGAGCACCAAACATCTGACCCCAAGCCCAGAACACGGCAGGGGCTGGAGCAGTGCTGAGGGGATCAGCCCCCAGGGGTCTGTGCTCAGGAACCCTGCCCTGGACCGCAGCCCGGGAGAGGTCTACTTCCTTTACACATCTCCCTGGGCAGGCTGCAGGATCCTGACAACGGAAGAGCTGGTGTCACCATCCCGTTGCTCTGCAGGGCCAGCTCAGGGGCACGGTCCCCACATACTGACAGGCAGGGGGGTCTGGCTGAGCCCACCCTTCTTGGGCGGGCTCTGCTTTGGGGGTGGGGAATGGGTGTGATCAGGTGGCTTGGCGGGAGGGTGTCTTTGGGGCCTCATGGTGGCCTCCTCCAGGCTGATGGTTTGAGGGTCATGACCCTCAGAACCAGTGAATCGTCTGGACCCCATTCCCCAGCACAGATCTTCATTGCAGAGGGACCTTCAAAACCAAAGGCAAGGACACGGGCGGAATCACCAGGCATGCGTGGGCCTGACAGGAACAATCCTCCGTTCTGATTCTGATGGGACTTCCTACCCAAGAGACCCGGCATGCACTCCCACGGTGCTGGAAACCAGTGCCAAGATATCAGTATCACATCCAACACTGCCACGCAAGTGACCAGCTCTGGTGACAGATAACACTGTGACACCACCAGCCTCTCTCCCACACCCCCAGTATAAATGGGCTGCAGACACCCCTGTCCTGTCCTGTCCTGAAGGGTCTTTGGGCAGTGCCCCCGGCAACTAGATGGGGGTCACGGATGCACTTAATCGAGAAAAATGCCTGGAGGGAAACTGAAAAGGGCCAGAAAGAGAGCGGGCTGGGGCTGCATCTCTCACGTTGGAAGCTCTGAGGCGCCTGCAGCCCGTGTGTGGCGCTGTATTCGTGGAGGACAAAACCGTGAAGATGGCTGCAGCACTGCTGTTCACGCGATGCACCCGGCTGCACCCGGCATGGGGGGACTCGGGCGACGGCAAATCCTTGGCCGAGGTCGACACCATGTGACATGGCGGGGGGGGGGGGGGGGGGCATCGCTGGGTTAGAGCCGCTGCCAGAAGGTTCCGCAGCTTGTGCCCCAGTCGAGCAGGTCAGTGTGTAAACGACAGCAGGTCCACTGGGTACCGATACTCCCGTGGGTCTGACGTGCGGCCCCACTCATCCCGCATCACGGGGGCTGGGGGCTGCCCTGGGGCCCGTCCTCACCTGGTCACCCTCCACTGCCCGGTCCATGGACTAGCAAACAGGAGCCTGGTATTTACAGCAACAAAGCCAACCAAGATGAAGCAGGTAGTTCATGGACCGAGAAAAGCAAACATAAATTAAAATATCTACTCCAGGATGTGTTGTACAACACAGGGAATATAGCCAATATTTTGTAATAACTGTAAACGGAAAGTCACTTTTAAAAATGTACAAAAGATGAAAAAATTAAAATACCCAAAGCATATAAAAATAAAACCAAGCACTTAAAAACAAACAACCCACCCACTGCAAACACTCAGCTCACCACTCCAAAGGGAGAGAGGAGATAAGCCCAACTCCTGGCATCCCCTGCCCCTCCAGATCAGAGGGAAACACGTGAGTTAAGCGTAAACCAGAATGAAGATTTATTCATGCTGGTTGTGCCGCAAATGTCCAAGGCGGCTCGACCTGGATTTAAAGATCGCAGTTTCCCGTTTCAGCTCAGCAGCCACAGCGGTAGGGCTGCCCCTGTGAGCTTCAGGTTTCTAGACCCGAGGTCTGCAGTGGTTCCCTTAACCGTGAATGTTATGGACTGTAGGTTCCGACAGATCCCAATCTGGCTATTGACTTCATGAAATCTGCCACACAAAATGCCATGTATCCAGGCTCAAAGCTCCCGGGGAAGCCAAGCTCCTACCCCGGTCACTGACACACTGCTTTCGGGGGAGGGCTATGATGACACACTGAACGTTCGAGAAGGAATGAGAGGAACCACTGCTACGGGACAGATCATCTGACAGAGAAATTTTTTTGCTGGCAGACTTCCGACTGCAGACTTCTTGGCACTGGCTTGCTGCCATGCAAATGAAACAAAAATCAATATCCCTCGGTCTGCAAAACCGTGTGTTAACAATCACACTCCAAACAACTTAAATAAGATCCCTCACCCCCGTACCCAAATAACAGCGACTGTTTTTGTTAGAAGGCAGTGCAAAATAAACAGAAAAAGAGAAGAAAAGAAGGCAATTTAACAGGTCCTCCTTAAGCAAAACCTTTCCGGGACTTCAGTGTGGAGATAATCTTTCTGTGATTATGACCAAACCCTCCCGTTGCTTAGCAACACATAATTAAGGAATATGTTTTCAGATCCGCTTTGCAAGCCCAGCCATTATCAGATGAAATTACTGAAGCAACAAATGTCATCGCCATGCAAATTAGTTGGTTGCAAAGAAAGAATGTTTGACTGTGAAGGGGAAGACACAGGGCCTGGGAAATATCGTCTGACTTTCCTCCTGTCACACACTGATTAAAAAAAAAAAAAGTCAAATAAATTTTATGATAAGACTTAAAAAGAAAATCCACACATGAGACAAAACCACAATCTACAGGGAGAGACAACAGAAAAATCCAACCAGCGCCCCTTTGGAAATAAGAAAGAAACGTGTGCGGAGGTCAGCATGTAAAGCAACAGCCATGTCGGTCTGTGAGTCGCCAAATCATCTGTGGCTTCACCAGTGTAACAGATAATAACCCTAATGCAGTATCGCAGAGCTGCAGGAGCGGGCTCCCAGCCCCCGCCCATGGCTATTGAAGGGGTATTTGCAAAAAGGTACATCTCATTTTTACCACGATTTTCGTCCCACCATCTCCACCCTATGATGCTAGTTATTCAGGAAAAAAAAATTCATTTAGAAAAGATTCAGTTTTCTAAACTATGTTGGGGAGGACGGGGGAAAGAAAGGAAGAAAGTTGATTTACAGCTTAAATGGCCAGGAAGGATTCCAGAGTCGAAATAAAAATTCTTAAGTGTTGCTCAGAGGATGCCCACCTGAAACTTTATCCAGACGCCCAGGGAAACACATGCATTCAATCACACTCATCTCGTGTTTTGAAGAGAACAGCTAGGATCCTTCTCTCTTTCCTCAACTTGGAAATATATTCTTCCCTACAAGTAAGCAGAATTCCCAACCGTGTTTTCCAATATGTGAGGCTAAGTCTGTTTCTGAAACAGGGAGTTCTAAGGGATTTCAACATCTTGCCCTGTTTAACACACAGTTCTGGAAGCACACCCGTTTTTAGCTCTGCAGCGATTAACTCTACCTCTGATACCGTGTAGACCCTTCAGAGGTGCGTTTCCATGCTATAATGCACTTCTAACGGCAAGTGAACGATGAACGATTTATGGGAGGTGGTGGACAAATATCCCACCTTCTCCAAAGCCACAGCCACTGAATGTGAACTGGAGAAACTGCCCCCGCTCGTGAGCTGAGGGTTTCATCCTGTTCTGAACGATTTCTGGGTTTCTCCCATAAACACAGTTGTGTTTCCTTACTGTAAAGGGAAATCCACAAATCAGCTTGAGCTCAACTAGAGAAAAGGGGAGGCAATGCCATCCCAGTGGGTCAGCCTGAACCACAAATCGATTTCACCCAAGAGAACGCTCGCCGCCTGGCGAGCTGGCCGTGGCGCCCGGTTTGGCGGAGTGTGTGTGTAAGCGAGAGCAAGTCCAGGGGAGGGGTGGTCTCTCCGGGCTTGGCCAGAGAGCAACAGGAACACGAGGACCTACTGTCCCGTGCTCAAATCTCTGCCCCCACTGTCCCCTCCACGTCCCAAATGAGGAAAGGCAGGGAGGGGGTGCATTACTTGGTTCTGGTGCAAGCATGGTGGACACGATGATGGGGGCCCCCGTCCGCCGGGCCACCTTCTGGTAGGGCGAGCGGGGCGTGTGGAGGCTCTGGCTGGCCGGCAGCAGGGTGGAGGGCTCCGGGGGGAGGCTGGGCTTCCGCAGGAGCTGGGGGCTGCTGTGGGAGCTAGGCAGGGGAGACGCCACCGCCCCACGCTCCCGCTTCAGCAGCTCCATGGGCACCGTGTACGCTGTGGAGTAGGCAGTTCTGGGGCCCGGGTTAGTCAAGGCCACCCCGGCCTGCGGGGGGTACGTAGGGCCCAGCCGCGCTGTCAGGGCGCAAGGGGTGGGAGAGCTGTACCCAGAGTTGGAGGGAAGGTGGGGGACTTGGGCGCCCACCCCCGGGGCAGAGTAGGTAGCCGCGGTCTCCAGGAGATGCTGGGATGGCGCGCTGGAGGGGCGGCGAGTAGGATCTGCAGCTTGCGGGGAGGTCGCCTGCAGGGGCCCCGCCGGCTGGGGCCGCAGGGCCGAGGCGTCCAGGTCAGACAAGTCGCCGTGGAGCTCGCTTCGGTGGCTCAAGCTGCTGGAGCGCGCCCGGGGCAGGGAGCCTCCCCGGCCCTGCCTGCGCAGCTGCATCTCCGTCCTGCAGCTGCTGGCCAGACGGCTCAGGACGCGGGCCTGGCCCAGGTTAGGCGCCACACACTTGATGTCTGCATCCTCCATTGTGGACAGGACGGCCGGGGAGTCGAAGCCCTGCTGCAGCAGGGCCGCCAGGGTGGCCTCGGCCACGCCCTCCGCCCTCAGGAAGGCCAGGAACTCGGGCATCACACTCCTCTTGCTGCCGCCGGGCCCCCGGTAGGCGGACAGGTCGGCCTCGCAATTCTCATAAGGCGTCCTGGGGTAGACGCTTTCCCGGGCAGGTCCGTAGCCTCGGTTCAGGGTGCCCGGGGCTGTTCCCAGGCTGGTATCGGAAGCAGCAGCCGCTCCAGGGTCCACGACCAGGCACGTGGGGGCCGCCTGCCTGGCAGCGGTGGCGGAATCCATAGGCTTCTCGCCCACATCGCTGTAGGCCTGGCTGGCAGGGTAGGCGGGCGCCTCCGCCCCAAACCTGCTGTCGGCCAGCTCCCCCGAGTACCGCGCAGGCAATGGGGCCTCGCTCTGCGATCGCTGTCCCTGAGGGATCATTTTACCTCCGGGATCCCGGTACAGGTGACCGGTGTCCTGCAGGACAGGGGCCCGGCCTTGCACTGGCTCCCATGTCATCCTGCTACCCAGCGCTCCATAACCGGGCAGCAGCCGGCCAGCTCCCGGGTCGTGATGGTGCTGAGGCTCTCTGGGGGCCCGGGCGGCTCCGGCCGGGTCGCTGTAGTAATCCCGCGGCAGCAGGGCCCTGCGAGCTGACATCACCGCCTGTCTGCTGTCGTAAAAGGCAAAGTCGGGAACAGAGCTCTTCCTTCCGGCCACCGAGTTGTAGAAGGCCTCCCGGTAGCGGCAGGACTCGGCGGCCCCGGGCATGGCGACATCCTGCAGCCCAGGGCTCGGCCGCTCGTACCAAGGTCCCTCTCCGCCTCTGTCCGTCAGGGAGCTTCTCCTCCCCAGAGCCTCAGCGATCTCCCAGGGGCCCTCGTACCACCCGGCAGCATCCCAGCTCTGAGATCGACCCATATTTATATGCCTGCTGGGAACCGGCATTGGAAAAAAAAATGACTACGGCCAAGGCAGAGGAGGAAGCCTTTCTTTACGAATCTTCAATTACATATATCAAACCCAGACCCGGCTGTATTCTATCCCTTCCAAGACAGCAGGAACAACCAACTGTGGGTTTTCTATTTCAAAGTATGGCCTAAATTATTAATCCTCCGAAACCTTAGTAGACAAAACACAACACTCACGGTAACTTTGCCTCACTCTCCAATGGTAGCGCCAGAGGTCTTTTCTTTACGGCTCAGTCCCAGAAAGGAGGCTGCATCCAGCCCGCCGGGCCCCCCTCCCGGCTGGTGCGCTCACATGGACCTCGGCTCTCTCAGCGTGCGGATTAGGAGCTAAATAAAACCCCGAAAGCTTTTGTTCCATGTGACGTCTCGTTAGCCTGATGAAACCGGCTGTGGGCTCCAACCAGGCCTCTCGACCCGCAACTGGGACTTATTTTCACACTGAAGCTCCGGCTTATCTCCCCCGTCCTCACCAGGGCACTTTTTGGACGAGTACTCCCTCCCCCTCCCGAAGGTGCCCCCACCGCCGCCTCTGATCGCCTAACAGTGACAGGAGGAAAATAGAAAAAGACTGCTTTAATGTCGATTCACTCTTAATCTACCCTGATGAAATGTTAATCCATTGCACACGGCTAAGAACAAATTAAATGTGAACAGGCAGGCGGGATAAAAAGAAAAAGTCTTGCACAGTTCTAGAGCATGAGATTCCCCAAGAGATGGGCCAGGTCTGCAGCCCGATGCTTTGCCAATATTGAAATCTGGCTTTGAGATGACTCTGGTTACGAATCAAACGAGTTATTACATTGCTCAAGTCCAAATGGATTCTTTACCGTATTATCATAAAACACGGATCCTTTCATACTGCCCGGAAAAACAACAACGGTGACAGAAAAACAACCCATGCGTGTAATCTAGAATTTATCATTGTAAGACTGCAACAGAGGTCAACAACTAGACCCCAACATTATGAAGCAAAGCTGGGAGGGAGGAGGCTGCATTTGAGGCGTGTCTTCGTTTAAATCTGTCTGCGAGGAAAGCAGAATTCTAGCAAGCTTGGCCTGGCTCAGATCTCGGGGATCATTTTCCATGTTCCCATAGATTAAGATTTTACATAGTCCTCCGGGGACTTTAGGTGCAATAATACAAAGAACAGCAGTTATTTAGATAAAGGAAAGCTCCACACAGGAGCATTAAAATATTTTCTTAAACATACAGGCAGGTCCCCGAGAAGCACCACCACAGACTGGACCGGGATCTTCCAACTGCAGGTTCCACGACAAAGAATTCACAACGGAAACAAAAGCTGGGAATCGTGAGGCTACAAGGGCTGTGTGCAGTTAGAACGTTAAAAAATGGGACAATTTGCATATTTGCAGCCATTAAACTTGAGTGTTTCGTCTTCACCCATACGTCCCTCAACCTAAGATGCAACTAGAATCTTTAGCTAAAGAGAATTAACTGTTTAAAAAAGAAAAAATTTTTTTTGAATGAGCAATACTGAAAATTTACTGTGAAGAGGAAAGTGTGTAGAAATCCATTTCTGGGAACTAGAGGCACACGGTAACGCAAGACAGTTTAAAAGGGCAGTGTCCCCTCATCCTGAGCAGTACATATATTAAACTTTGGGACAAGCTCTGTTTAAACCAGTGTTACTCCCCAAAGAGCACTGGTCCCCAAAAGCCAGAGCTCTGTGTCTCCCAACTGACTACTGAGGAACTGGCCCAGGCGCTGCCTGGGGACACAGCACAGGGACCCCAGTCTGCTGCTTGAACACAAACCATGGCCTCTATTTCTGACCCAAAAATGCCAATAGGGCCTCAAGTGAACTGGGAAAAAGCCCTGGCAGATGGCAAAGAGACTCAAATCCTCCCCCAGTCCCCTCCGTCTCCTAGGATGCATGACAGGAAAAAAAGAGAAAAATGAACGAGCCACACTGCAAAACGTTGGGTTTCCATGTATGAAAGCAGACTGCTGGTGCCAATTTCTCTAATTCCTCTGCTGGCACATTTGCCATCATGGGCTGAAAGGCCCGGGCAGAGGAGACAGAGGCAACGGGCCTGGCCACAAACAAGACAATATTTACACGTCTCACCAATAGCCTGAGGATAGGATGTGTCCACTTAGAAGATACATCAAAAAGGACAGGAAAACGTTAGAGCCCCAAACTCAATGGAAACAGGACTATCTGGTTACAGCAGATCCCTTCCCGGCTCTGTTGGGCAGACGGCTTTTCTCTTTGGGGCACTGTTCGGAGCCAGGCGCAGCTTCCTCCCCTCCGGAAAGGAGAGGGTGGAGAAAGATGTGGCAGTCTCGGCGGTAACCCTTCTAAGAAGGACGACAAGCAGACAAGACTGTGTGAAAACAAGCCTGGTGTACGCGTCAGGCGGGACACACCTTCGCCCCAGAAAAGACACTAACCTGATGACCCCTCCGGCAGCTCCAGCCCCCGCTGCCTTGTCACCCCCCTCTCCCGGTCTTGGCTCTTTTGGCCAAGAGGGGCCTTTGAGGCCTCCTAGTGGGGGTTCCATCCCATTGTCGCTTTCCCTGCCACCTCCCTCCTTCCACCACTGGTCAGAGAACACGGCTAGCTGGGCAGGAAGGGCTGCAGCGGTCCTGCCTGACCCTTCGAGGTGACCAGAAAACAGGGCATCTTTGACATCATCTTTTCCTTACAGGATCCTCATTAGAGGGCTTCAACATTTGTTCAGTCTGTACCAGGCCTTGTGCTGGGTGTTTTGCCCATAAACGATTCTACAGGCAGGAGTGATTATGTCACATCCCAGCTGCTGGGATGCAGAGCTTGGGTACCTGGCCCAGGGCCACAGTGCACAGGACCCAGCTCAAACTCCAAAAGCCAACGCTCTGCTTTCTGGAATTCCCTGCACCGACCTGGGGTAACAGTCCTGCTGGTGCTGGACAAGGGGAACCTCTTTAACAAAGTAATTCTGTTATTTTCCTAAGGTTCCCCAAAACCCCAAATATAAATGCCACTTATAAAATTAACCACTTGAGTATCAGAAAGTAACTCCTAAACAGACAACTGCCTCAACTTCTCGAAACAAGGTGCAGTGGGCCCTTGCCAGAGTCAGGGCCCCCAGACTTGAGCCAACAGATGGCACCAGCCTAAGGCGTCATCAGTATTATACCATCTCGAGGCTTCCTTCTTCTTCCTTCCTGTCATAAAGAAACACAACATGGGGTGGCGTTAATGCTACAAAACGCCACTTGTGGTGCAGACATGTCCCTTCAGAAGTTATCTGTGCCGAATCTTTTTGCAGCGGGGTAGCTGTTGGTAACTCACCCAGATTACGGATGAACTGAAGCAGTTCGAGCCCTCCACTTCAGCAGGACTACCTAAGAGCATGCATACCCCATGGCCCCTAAGAAACAAGGAGCAGGTTTTTGAGAAGGTGTGAAGGTGTAATGCCAGGGGCAGAACAGCAGTGAGCAGAAGAAGCTTCAGGGAGGCGTCACCCTCCACCCCAGAACGAGGAGGTCCAGGTTCGTTTCCATCAATTTCCGACCCATTCTGCTTGGAAGCCACCCAAACTCACGCAGCCTCAGCTTTGCAATCCGCCAAATATTATGACAGATGTTTTCCTGTGTTAGGTAAAAACACCTGTAACTGGACTTGCTCTTTTCTAAACACTCTGGCAGATTTTTTTTTTTTTTTTAAATCTCATGCACAGTCTTTAGGAAAGGGCTGATTTTCTGAAAAATCTCATGTTGACTAAATAAAGCGAGATGGGACCAATATCTGAAAGATTAATGAGTCTCTCAGACTTAACGTTTTAATCCTGCAAAGAGTCTCACTACAGAAAATTGCATAAAGGAAAGAGCCATCTTCTGAAAACTGAGGAACAGGCAATCCAAATTCTCTTGCAGACAAAATAAACCCAAGGTAAAGCTGATCCTATAGAATCATCTGAACAGGAACTCCAAGGTTATAAGCAACACCCCCCAAAGCCGATTGTTGAATTCCCCGGGCAACATGAGGCATCAATTCACGACTGTAGAGACCTGAAAACTCTGAGATGACCTAGACAGTTCCAGAAAAGCAGGGAAGGAAATCCAGGAGGCGGACGACCATCCATCCCTTCCACCGAGCAGTCCTCGGGCAGACTGCCCACAAGCATTTCATGTTCTGATCAAGACGATGACCTGGGAAATTGCTTGAAAAGAATGGGAAATAGAAGGACTGCTCTGGGGTCTAGTCCTCACTTCTTTCTTTAAAACAAAGAAAATAACAACAATCAGGCATATGGCGGACTCAGCGAATCTCAAGGCCAGACTCACATGAAGGTCACTGGGTCTAACTGCCCGTCCCCTGACAGCTGTGCTGTTTCCGCCGGCCTGGCGGCAAGGGATGCTTACCCCTTCTTAGGAGGAGACTCTGGAGCATTACTTGGCCGGCCTTCCCCGTGCCGGACCAACACTAGCCTGAGGCTTTCCATCCCCTGGCTCTCCAGTCCTTGGGGCCAGGAGCCCAAGGCAGCTCTGAAAGCAAAGGCGGAAATAAGAAAGCCCCCGAGATGCCTCCCTGCGCCTGCTGTTTGCCAGGACGAGGCTGCTGCGGCGCGCTCGCCCTCTGCCCCCCACGGGGCAGCATCTCCTGGGGGACACTGCTGAGGTTAGTGGGTTACACTCTGCTTTCCGGCAGAGATGGCCAAAAATAGGCCCATGACATCCCACTTCCTACTTTTAAATATGTACAGGCTGTGTTGGGTTTTTGTTTCTGTCAAGTGCTTTAGAATTTATGTTTAAAAACAGCTTTCTGCCTTTAAAAAAGTTTTCTTTCCTTCTGTCCCCACAGTGTCCCCTACCAAAGCAACTTACTTGGCTAGTCTGAATCAGAGAGGGGGACACAAACCCCAAGTACATTAGTAAAACAGCAAATAGGGTCTGGCAGGGCTTTAAGACAGCCTCCGTCTAAGTGACGTGAATACAGAGACAACATCAGCGGAAACGACCAGACATTTCAGGCATCCCAGGATCGACGCGGCACCACAGGCTCTTGGATGCAGGCTTTGGGCTCCTAATTTCCAACCTGGAGCGGGAGGCTTTACATTATCAGCACAGCCCTCCAGAGAAAACCCAAGCCGCGAGGTGGGGCCTTGCAACCAAATGAGCTGCCCTCTGAACAGCCCCAGGCCTCCCGTAACTCACGATTTAGCCATTTTCAGTGAAAACAAAGGCTTGCGCATCGCTCCTGACTTGATTTTTTGACTGGATGATAAAACTTAGTGAGAGCCGCATTATGAAAATCAGGCTTGATTCCCACATGTTATGGGATTAAAAAGCCTCTTTTATGGCATGTTTTGAATGTGCCGGTGAAGCAGAAAGTGTGAGCCGAGACCCCAGGTCGGACGCAGGGCCTGGGCAAAGCACAGGGCAGAATCTACCTGCAAAGGCTTTCCTGGATCCTTGACAGCACCTGGCGCAAAGTCCACCTCAGGCTGGTGCTCAGTGACCTCTGCTTCCCTCCAATAACAGCTCCTCCTGCAAAGTCTCAGCATCTCAGGTGACCCGACTCCCCTTGACGTTGCCACTCTCACCCCAACACACTCCTGTGTTATGACTCCTTATCTCTGTTGGGTTCTGAGTATCAGGAATGGCTTCCTCTCACCTTGGTTGATGCCCCAGTCATTTCCACCCGCCAGGGCCCAGCTCAAATAACCCACCTCCAGGAAGCTTCCTCAGTCCCCTGCTGTCACTCTGTCCCCAGTCCAAAGAAGTCTGCCACCTATCAAAGGCGAGAGTACCAAATAATCCAGGGAATGAATCCACCTGCAGAGACATCCCATGGTTTTCTCACTAAGGTGGCAGAGCCCTGTCCCCTCCTGACATGTCCTTCTTGCATTCATCATGAGCTCATTTGTTTGACTCACGGGTTGTAAAAACTGACCTGTTGAACAGGACTCTGTACGAGGAACAGGACTTGGTGGCAACAGCCAGTCTTCGCCCTCAAGGAGAGTATGTTGTGATGGAGAAAAGGACAGAGAGGTGCACACGATCACCAGGGAGCCCTGACCCACGGCCGCCCCAGCCTCTGAGCCCAGGTCCAGGCTGAAGCAAGCACAGCCCCTCACTTGCAAGGACTCGGGCACAGTGGGCATTGAGCAGAGACAGCAGAGGAAGACGACAGCCCCCAACGTCCGACACTACCTGGCAGGGACCCACACTGTCCCGGCCCGCAGCGCTGTTTCTCACCCGGGCCCTGATCGTACAGTAAGAAGACAGGCTTTAAAGACCTTCTGAGGACAAGAAAGGACTGATCGTCCACACTGTCCGTTTCACCCACTCCAGAGTGCAAACAGGAAGGGAGGACCCTCTTGTTTCCCAGGAGTTGGGAAACAAGCTGATGGGTGTTCCAGCCCCTCTGATGTCCACGCAAGAAGGACAGGAAGTGTGGAGACGGCGGCGAGCGGGTGCACAGCGATGTCCAGAACATGCTCCTCCGGCCACTGCACAGCCCCACTGCTGGTACCCAGGAGGTTATTCCCCGGACCTGGAAGGGGAGCCCGCATTTCAAAAGGGCCACCCGAGGCCTCTCTGGAGACGGAGGGCACGCCTGAGCTCTAGAGCAAGGGAGTTCATCAATGTTCAGGATGCTCATCAAATAATGGTTTGGTGAGCGGAGTATAAGTCAGTCAGGACAGGAGGCTCACTCCACGCCTGTCATTTGTAAGGTTCTGGAAAAGGGATCAGAGGGTGGGAAGCTGGCAGCAAAGCGCACCTTGGAGTTCTGGCATCACGGTCACCCCAAACACTTGTGATTAGGTTGAGCTGTGTGGGACAGCCTCTGAATTCACGTGGGGCACCATTTGCGGGCCTCCAGCTCTGCAAAGCCAGGTCACTTTGCTGTCCTCAGACCTACTCAGACAAAGGAGGCTTGGCCTGGAGGTGCTGGAACCCTGTGAGGCGTTCGTTAGGCCTGGAGCAGACCTCTTTCCTCAAAGTTGCAAATGACCAAAATGAAACACACCCTGAGCAAAGCAGACGAGGTAGGCAGCTCACACTCGGGAGGCGTGATCCCAAAGGGCACAGAGACAGGTGTCGCCCACCTGGGGGAGAGCGTGACCCTCCCCGGTGGGCGCGAAAGCCAGAGCAACAGCTGAAAAACAAAACCCAGACACTGACAAACACCCACACCCGGCCATGGACTAAAGTCACCACACCCCAAACCCCAAAGTGGAAACACAGCAGCCTTAACAGGCTGCTTTTAAAAATGTGGGGAGTTTAAAAAAATCCACCAATGGAGGTGAGAGCCCATCGGCAAGTCAACAAGTGCAAAGAGTAGCTTAAATCTGCATTTCACAGATGAGGAACAATGGAGAAATAATACAACATGGAACCTGGCTCTCATCTGCAGAAAGCTGAGGGCCGGGTGTGGGTGCTCCATGGGCCCAGTCCTTAGGTGACAGCGGGAACCCCAGGGGAGGGGCCGCTCTCCAAATTTATCTTAAAACCAGGGCCTGATATTTATCCCTCACAAACAATGTCTACGAAGTTTCAACTTGGCCATTCCCCCTGCCTTTTCTGATCCTTTACCTGAGCACGAAGTAGCTTCATTATATTCATTTATACTACAGAGTTTTAAGTCGTCTGGTTGACTACTGTATATTTACATAGCTAATGTAATTATCACTAATCACGTAATTACTGGAAATGTACATAATTGCCTCATCCAAACATATAATTATAATGTATAGCAACATCATGAATCCCATTTTTAAGATCTACATTTTGGGGCTATTTAAAGACATTTATTAGAAATAATTGTGGACTGCCTATAGATGGTCTCGACGCTGTTTCGTGGTAAGGTGCTCCGAGTGCTTTAAAAAACAAAACAAGTAGTGATTCTATAATGCATTTTTTTTTAAGACGGGTGAAACAAAAAGCACACAAATAAAAGACAAAATGATCCTGGCCTGAGTCTATAGATTATGCTTTTCCCGTGGGGAAATACAAGTCAGTCCTGCCCTGTGGGCTCTGATGGGTGTGAGCCAGGCAATGAGATCCGCCCCCCACCCCAGTCCTCCCTGCAGGGAGCACACAGCTGGCCTGGACACCCTCACCACTTCCACCACCTCGACGACCTAGAAGCTCTTAGACAACATCTTTGCTTCTTGAATATTCTGGGACCATGAATGAACTTTCTTGGGGGAACGGTCCACTGAGACGTACTTTCACAATGGCGAGCTCATCCCACTAAGAAGAGCACAGTGACACTGGGAAAAAAGTCTTCTTCCACCTCATCCCTGCAGCATTTTCTGACTTTTCTCGTCCTCTTGGGGACAAAGATTCCCAGGATTTATAACTACGTGTTTAATAGACACCGGTTTATTAGACAATTTAATAGACAATAGAGGCTGGCCTCTATTTCTCCCACATCCATCCAACCAACCCGCCCATCTTCCTCACCGCCTTTTATTCTCTGTTCTCATAAGAACATCCCAAAGGTAAGGAATGTTCAATTCGACTGTTTATTTAAAAGGAGGTTCATATCATTTCTTTTTTTCCTGCAGAGGAAAGAAGTCCTCTCCTGAATTATGTGATGAAGGGGACTGATCACAGCTCAGCTGATATAATCCTCAGGACCATTTTTCCACACATATAAGACATTCAAGCAAAATGAAGATGAAATATCTACTTTTTTTCCAAATTACGTTTTCAAAAGCAACAGGAAAGAATGGTGTTTAGTGATTTATTGTACCATAACACACAATAAGGTGTTGTAACAAAAAGTCATCAGCAAGCCCATTGTGGTATATTACAGTTCTACAAACCTAGGCTCCAGAAAATGCTTTTCTGGGTTACTTTCGCAGTGATGAGGGATAGCAAGCCCTCTTCTCCGGCCAACGAATACTTGGGGCAAATCAAACCAGCTCTGCCATGATGCAGTTACATATTAAAACTCTCTGACTGGTGCAATTCATAAATGCAATATTTCAATTATGCCAGCAAACTAAACACAGGGGAAAACCAAGACCTACATTGTACAACAAAGAGAAGAGACTGCAATTTGGTCTGACCAGTCTATCAGCAGACTCTGCTCCACAAAACCTTCACACAACAGCACTCTAGGACTATTTGATATTAGGCATCAGGAAAGAGCACAGAACAAATTACAAATATCAAAACAGAAGGATTGCTTTAAGAAAAAAATCTGGCTTTTAAGTCAGCTTGAAAGACCATTATTCTAACAGAGTTGGATGGAGTCCCGAAGACTTTGGGTGGCGAGAAGCGAAGCTATCCTCTATACTTTGCTTAATCTCGAGCAGAAACATCCCCTTAGAGGTGCAAAGGTGCAGATAGATTCTGGGCACATGAAGACTGATGGACCGGGTCACAAGGGGACTGCAGTTCAGAAGGAAGAGACCCCAAGGGCTGCTGTGGAAGGTTTCAGGGAGGAAGGGACTGGGCCTTGGGAGGCAGGTAGGGATTCTGGAAGCAGTACTGGCACAGGAGTGATGCTCAGATCCCACCAGACTGGCTCAGCTGGAGAAAAAAGGTTCATTCAAGGGGTGGGGGTGGGGGGTAGACCCTTGAGGGCATCAGAAGCCTTGTCTGGCTTGGGACCCAAAGCCAGGGATTTACACTGGGGTTGGCAGCAGGCGGGAGGGAAGAATTTGAAGGAATATGTGTTCCCACAGACCCAAGAGTATGAAGAAAAATCTCCTATAAGCCTGGAGCAGAGCAGGGCAGCTTCATGGCTTTAATCATAAAACAAAAACAGAGAGAGAGAGAGACAGAGAGACAGAGAGAGAGAGAGACAGAGAGACAGAGAGACAGAGAGAGAGAGAGAGAGAGAGAGAGAGAGAGAGATACAGGAAGTCCCTGGGGTGTGGGCGGCGGGAAGGAGAGAATTGTTTGCTGAGCCTGCTGGACTTCCAAGGAGAACATTCAAGAACAGTTAGTTCAGGTTTACAGAACAGAGACTGCTGAGCATCCAAAGCCAGGGACAGAGGTGTGTGAGGCTTTCAGGAGGAAGAAATAACGGAATCCACGTGCCGATTCAAGGGCAAAAGCCCAAATACAGAATAGCAGACTGCCTGGGCGCAAATCACCAACTGCTCTGTACCTCGCTGGTAGCACCTGGGAAATGGATGTCCTGACCATTAACGGCACTAAACCAGCTTATAAATACAAGGAGCACCAATGAAGCATCTTGGAACAGCTGTTATACTTCATGGGACACCAAGTGACTGTTTGGGATCATGGATTGTAAATTACACTTGAGTAACTTTGGACTGTAAATTACACTTGAGTAACTTTATGTCATGCATGTATCTTGATAGTGGCTATTGAGAAATTAAAGATAAAACAAACCACTGCAACTGTCTCAGGAACACCGTTCATGGATAAAGGAGATGCTGGAATTTGTTATAAAAAATACGCTGGGGACTGGTGAACCATGTCTGGGAGAGAGGGTGCGAAAGAACCGCCAATGGTTTTGCTGTCACCGACCACCCTGGACAAGGAGAGGAAAGGCCCCTCGTGCTTCAATCCCATTCTTGTCTCAGATGTGCTACCTCTAGATAAATACTGGGGTTGGGGTTGGGGTTGGGGGGTGGAATCGGCCCCATAGACATTCCTGATACTAACCTTGGAAAGTTGATCCACTAGGGCTTTCTGGACTGGGGACTCAGTACCAAAAATGAAGCACCTTTCCAGAGGAGGGCAGAAGTACAATTTAAAAACCCCCAAACAATCAGGGGAACCCAGATTGTGGGACATTGTACAAACCTATTGGCTTGGGCTCTTCAATGATGTCAATGCTTCTGAAAGTCAAAAGGACCAGGGAATTATTTTAGACTAAGGAGACCAAAGAGACATGACAACTAAATGCCACCTATGTCCCTTGATAGGTTTCTGCACACAGGCAAACAAACCAGCTAAAACAGACGTGTGGGGGAGATGTGCATGTGCCATCTATGTTAGATAATGCTGTAATGAGGTCCAATTTCCTGGGGGTGATGATGGTGGTGTGTTTATGCAGGAAAGGAGCCTCTAATACATGCCATAGGTACTTAGGGATAAACTGCTGCACTACACATTTCTCTCAGATGGTTCTGGGAAAGTCCATCCATCCATCCTCCATCCATTCATACACACGTATCTCTATAAGAAGAAAGCAAGCGATAACAAATGTTATCAACTGGTAAATACAGCTGATGGGAATACCAGTGTCCGTTGTACTATTCTATCAGTCTTTCTGTAGGTTTGAAATTTTTTTTAATATTTAAAAAAAAAAAAAATCCTTGAATCCCAAACCCCTTACACTGCAGCAGAATCCCAGGCATGTGGAGGGACGGTCAGTGCTCCTAAATTCTTTTAGGTCGGAGCTGTTGCAGGGCAGACAGTCACACAGTAGAACACGCCTTTAATGCCTCCACACCGCTAGCTTGAGCCACATCTACGAACAATTCCATATGGACGGCTCCTGGGAGATGTCTTCCTGGGCCTGAGTGAACTGGCCAACTGGTGTGCTAGCATATTCGGGGGTCGGGGGTGGGTTGCTGAGCCCACCCCGCCCAGCAGCTCCCCTCCTGAGCGAAACCCTGCAGTGAGGTCACGGGAAACCACGCCAAGCCAAACCCAGCCGACAGCACGGACACCAGCCGGCTAGGAGCACTTCACGCCAAGCCCAGGTCCACTGGCGCTGGATTTCTAACCACTCCCTCACGAGGAGAGGACGGTGCTCAATCCACATCTCAGAGTTTTGTCCCCGGGTTTCCACTAGATTTTAATCCTGTTTATTTTTCCTTTCATGAATAAAAAACTTCCAGACATTTTTCAAAGATACCAGGGACGTGAGCAGATCATGAGGGGCTATGCTGGGCTCCTGAGGAATATCTCAGAATTTGTGCTGGTAAATCTTTTAATTCAAAACAGATAAAGTCCAGAAACTTCGGCAAGTTTAAAAAAAAAAAAAAAAAAAGATGGTCCTAATATGCAGTGTCTTTCTTGTGCAAAATGATCTTGGGACAAAATGGACCTCAGGGCCTGCTTCCCCCAACTTCTGTCCTAGCCCCACCCCTGCCCTGGAAGCGGGCCTCAGCCTACTTGAAGGTCAGGCCTACTGACCACGCCAAGGACACCACCAAGGACACTGGCAGAGCGTGTGGGACGGTGGGAGGTGCTGGGGGTGGGGTGTGGGTCGCAGCCTGGCTAGGAGACCAGCTGCAGGATTCCAGGGCGGGTCTACGCGTCTTTGGTGAAAAACCGCCAATCACGCTGGCTCTTACCTTCACAAATTCTGTCCAATCGCTGTCGCTTGACTTTGTGCTTATCCACAAGGGCCATTCTTTATCGAACTTTGCACCTCTCTGATTCAAAAGGCAAAGCGGTCCTCTAAGAACTTAGGGGCCCTCGCAGGAGTCTGCGGGCATTACGCCACTACGCGCCCTGAAACAAGGAGAAAAGAAGCCTTACTCTCTGGACACCCTGGGGGCAAGGATGACAGGTCATTCGGGCGTGGCTGCCACTTGCTACAAGGGGACCTGCCCTTGGGCGCTTGCTCTCCTCCTCAAATGCTGGAGATGGATTTGCTCCAAGTCCATGGGACAGTCTCCCGCCTCTGAGGGAAGCACACGAACACGCACAACTGTCTTTGGTTCCTGAACGTGGTAAATGGCAGCATCTGGATCTCTTGCTTTTGACTTCGGGGCTGTAAACACCAATTACTGACCAGCCTGAGTCATAATACTTTGTACTCGAATGCCAGGGACCAAGCTATAGCCAGTGGGGTTGGTCCTGTACTTCTGTGAACCGCAGAGGAGCGGAGTCACAGATCAACCCACACCACCTAGGAACACATCCCAGGGGCCTCTGGACCGAGATGCAGACACCCAGCTGCCGCTACTCTCTCAAGGCCTTCTGCCAGGAGGTTCACAAAACCTTTCAAAACTGCCCTTTGGCCACCGCTCAGCACCACACAAGCCCCTTGCCCCACCGCCTGAGAACGGGGCAGGAAGGCACGCACCACCTAACCAAGGTTTGACCAGTGCCACCTTCCGGAGCCTTCCTTGCATCCAGAGGGAGTCACAGCTGGCATCGGCTGCCCCACACCTGTGGCGTCTCAGGCCGAGGAGGAAGGGTCTCCCATTGGGGCTGGGGTATTTGGGCCTCTCTAGAGGGAAATCCACATGCCACGCCGCCTGAGGAATGGGGAGCCCAATTCGCAGAGAAAGTCGGGGCTGCGCGTTTGGGAGACCCTGACCTTCATTTCCTGCTCAGCCAATGTACCAGTTGAGGCCACAAATCATCACCTGTAACCCCCAAAAGTCCCACAGCTTTTGACTCATTACTGCAGTTATTCTAACAACAACTACTACTACTACCACACACACACACACACACACACACACACACACACGCGCGCGCGTCCTCAGTTACCCAGCAAATGAGGAGGAGGTTAGGAGACAAACGTGAGGCTCCGGGGTTAATAATGAGGATTATTATGTAGGATCATCAGTTACGCAAAACGCTGGGAGTTACCTTCTCAAAGGTCGGGATGCAGGTCTGACTATGAAAAGGTAGGCGACTTCCCGGAAGTTAAAGACTAATTTCTCAGCAATGAGGCTGAAAAGATTTATGGCAATAATTATGTGATTTTTAAAAAAAAAGAGCTAGGGAAAAAGAAAAAGCACAATTTCTACTCACAGAAATAATTAATGCGACATCCAAGAGACACCAAACCCTTTCCAAACCTGGGACGTTCCCCACACCTGGAATGACCCTATTAGACAGGCGAGGAGATGAAGCCGTCCTGAAGCAAGCCAGAGCGGCACCGGGTTGATGGGGCAGGCAGATTTCTAAAATTCTGGTTTCACTTTTGCTGGGCTGTATGAAAGGTAATCATGCAAAGGGGGGAAGGTGGTTTCTTACTGGCCAACTTGAGACAGACAGACAGAGGAGCAGGACCTCTGATCCAAGGGTTTCTGTCCAAGAGAGACCCTCAGAGGCTGGCTGGCAAATTTGATTTGCTCGGGTCCCGGGCTCTGATCAGCGGACGGCCCCTCCTTGGCTCTGGTGTGGAGACACACCCCGTGTTAGCCGCCACATCCAGGGTGAGAGAATTGATTAGTTAATATTTGTGAAGTGCCTTGGAGATGAGAAATGACAGCATTATCATCCGAGGGAAGACGGGCTTCACACCCTCCTCCTCCAATTCCCCGAGTGAGGAGGCATAATCATTCTTTTTGCTTTCCTTTGAATTTTAATTTGTATAATTAGATGGCTTCCTGAAAAATTGATAAGTAGAATCTCGATTATGCAATCAAAGGAAAGATCAGGCATCAGCTTACACAAATTGTCTGCGTCCTTTTTTAAAAAAAAAAAGGCAACTGACTTGTGTGGCTTTGGGGGGTGGGGTGGGGTCTCTCTGTGGCTGGCCCTTCCACGGGGTCCCCTCCAGCTGCGGCACCCACCCCTGTCTCAGACTGGACATGCTGACAGAATCCAGAGTCGTGAGGCCACCGGGCGAGTCTGGTCTGGACTTTACAGCAGTGACCACGGACTAATTCACGTAGTCTCAAACCCCTCCCCTCAATCGATCCCTCCCCCCTCCCAATATTTCTTTTTAAGCAAGAATGTATGACATTCTTGTTTAAAAAGAAAGCAAGAATGTGTCAATGTATGTGACATTTTCCTCCTTGGTCCTCTGAAGGAGCGAGCTATTTACCAGGACTTAATTAACATGACCCTCTTCCTAAGGACAGGGACAGGCCCTCCTCAGAGCCGAGCTGTGAGCAGCGTCCCTGGCTGGTGTCCACGCCGAGAATGCCAGCACCCTGCTACCCACACTGGCCCTGGGAGCCCTCGGCGGGGCCCCCCAACGGAAGCCCACCTCTGCCTTTACTCTACACCAGTCTCCACTCATAAATCACGAACTTTTTGCCACTGCAGTTATCACTACGATCATCCATTGACACTATCTGGTCAATGTTCAACCACAAATAGATGAAGGTCCACATAGGCAAGAAAAGGCAGAGGAGGATGTATTGCACGGTCTCACTTTGACTGAAATTGTAAACCTCCACACCATATTTGTGGGTGCCAAGAGAGTTCTAGAACCTGCTTGCAGAACGACTGTGCATTAGCAGGCTCCATGTTTGTACAATGCAGACGATGTTGCTTTACGTTCCAAAGCGGCTGTGAGGGTCAGGTGAGAACACGCAGGAGAACATCTGGTGCCCAACAGCAGGCCTCTAAGCACCACTCGTGCCTTCCTCCGGTGAGAGGGCCCCCTGGATGCGGGCGCCAGTCACAGAGGAGCATCCCTCCTGCTGAGGCTGGAGGTAAACCTCGGGGGAAATTCAGGAAAGGTCAAAAGGCAATTCAGGTCTTTTCACAAGTAGGAAGGGTGTACCGCTGACAAACCTGACAAGAAAAAAACACGACCTTCTCTCCCAAAAGAGAGATACTAAAATCACAGGGCAAACCACAGAAAGGTCTACCTAAAGTTTTGTTAGCTTGAAATGAGGGGTGTGATCTAGGGCTGAAAGATTTGGTGTCAGGGAATTCAACTTACTTCAGAAGGGGAAAGATGCTTGCATAAGAAAGCTACTTAGAGATTCTTGATTACTAGAAAGAAGATACAGGTATGGAAGATTTGTCCACTTGTGGGCTTCAAAAAGAAGCATGAGAGTTAAGAAAAGGGAGAACAAAAAGGAAGACTTCATTTTACAAACAAATGCAAAACATCCAAAGTGAGGTCGTGAAAAACAAAAGGCTA